GAAGAAGAAGAAGAAGAAGAAGAAGAAGAAGAAGAAGAAGAAGAAGAAGAAGATGATGATGATCATGATGATCATGATGATGATGATGATGACCATCATCATCATCATCATCATCATCATCATGATGATCATGATGATGATCATGATCATGATCATGATCATGATAATGGTGATGATGATGAAATAGCCTTTGTATAGCTCATATCCCCTTTCGAGAACAAGCTTTATGCGTTTTTACACCACAATAACGTAATAAAAACGAATGGAATTAACATAATTATTATTCATGTTAAAATTTCTTTCCACAAGACTCACCAGCACACGCCTTCACGGTTCGAGTACCACGTCTGTGAGTAGTGGTTCCATCTGGGCAGTGATGGCAAAACCTGGCCGAGTAGTCCGACTGAAAGAGTCCAAGTGGACAAGTCTCGCAAGGGGACAGGCCATTCGCAGAAGATGTGCCCGGCAAGCATAGCTCTGTAAAGATAATAGTTAGATGCTTCACGCTACCATCAACACAACCAACGACAGTTAGGTGTCTGCCTGCTTTAACACTAACAGTCAGGTATCCCTGTCGACAGAATTATTCGCATTAACTGAAGGGATACAAGTTTAAGGGGGCTCTCATGGCCAAGAGGTTAAGATGTTCGCCGCTAATTCAATAGGTCCCGGGTTCGAGCCCGGATGGCGACGGAATTATTTCTTATCTAAATTGTCTCCTTTCACCAACTTTCCTGTTCTCTAGCAATGTTCTGTCGCCTGCTTTCGTCTCCACTCTCTGCCCCCACTCCCCTCAACTCCTTCGCCTCCTCCTCTGGGCCCGTGACTTTTTCTGCAGCCTTTCTACTGCTACTCCGTGGATCCTTTTTACTGCTGTTTTTCAGCCACACCCCTGATCTTCTGGTAGGAAAGATTTACACCTAGCCTTCTCGGACAAGGGTGAAAAATCTCGGAGGTCCCGTTTGCAAGTTGCGCACGTTAAAGATCCCTTCTTGGTCCAAAATCAATAAGAGTAGGCTTCGGCCGCCACCAGGGCCAAATTAAAAAAAATTCTACCGACTGAAAATGTTTAACGGGCGCTCATATGACTTAATGCAGTTGCGAGCGCCATAAAACACTTACAACCCCCCCCCCAAAAAAAAAAAAAACCAACAAGTCTGAGAGTTGAGAACAAAAATCCTTTTATTGCGCTCTTTGCAACAGATTTTTATCTTCGAAGTGCTTAATCATTTACATTCTTCGTCATCATAGGGCAGGAAAAGTAGAAACCAAAATGGTGGAAACATAGGTGTCTCTCATGTCGGAACAGTTAGTACAACTGGGCTGTTTTGTTAAAGTAAGGTTTTTACGGCATTTTCAACACAATTAGGTCATATAAGTGCCGAAGATTAGAGGAGTTACAAGTGAATAACAAAAACCAAAAAAAGGAGAAGAGGTAAGAACGATATATATTTGATAAGAAAGAAGGAACAAACCACACTAGAGCACCCTCCCACCACCCAACAACTAGGCTGTACTCAACGTCCAAAATAGTATTTTACTTTAACTTGTTATGTCCAGGACAATTCAGTAAAGTAAATAATCTACAACAGGTGACAATTGTTAGAGCGGTCTCACTGCACAGTTTACTGATGATTCGTACAGATACAAAATGATTTTTTTAAAATAAATATGAAGTGTCTTTAAAAATACAATTTAGACTGTATTGTTGTTTGAGCTTTTGAAGTCAAGTTTCTCTTACTTACAAACAACTTACGGATTAGTACTGCTGTGAGTCTTCCAGTGTGAAGAGTCTTATATGTTTTATTATTGGAAATACAAATTCTTTGATAAGTATTATCCACAGCAATAATACCACACTGTTATATATTTTTGTCTCAAGTTCTTTATTCATATGTTCATCACTTGTATTTATTCAGTAACATTTACTTTTTCTGTATCTGTTATATAATTTATTCAGAATAGTTAAAATCTTTTACTTTTTCTTTCTACTGATAACCAATGGGGTTTTCGTCCAATTAATTAACAACTTTTCAACACTCCATTTCCTTGGCAATACAAAAGTTCATTTTCTTTCTTGTATCCAATAACCGATCCTTTTCTCATTGAAAATTATCATTCAGTCTTTCAGTTACACCTATATCATCTGACCTTTACACTCATGCAGGCTCCTGGTATGAGGCCTCTCGGTAGACATGTTATCTGGACATCTCAGGCAGGTGTTGTGACCTTCCAGGGGCTGGTAAGTACCCTGAGGGCAGTCCTCGCACCGTCGGTTCACAACGTGGTAGAACGTTCCAACGGGACAGTTCACTGTCGTACAGGAGGAAAAAGGCACATGAGAGGCCAGGCTATTACAGATGTTTGCGTGTCTTCATTATGCGTACATGCGGGGGAAAGCAATTTATCAATCTGTGAGAATGTACATGGGGAACACAACTAAAATGTAAAGGAGGAAAGGCGGGTGGGGCGGACATATTAAACAAAATATTTTGTACAACCATATTTGTAGAGCGTGACAAGAAATAGAAATCAAAGAAGACTTTGTCTTTATTACCGTTTTAGGATTGTATTGAATCATTGATTTCACTGTCTGTCCTTTTTTTAAACAATATTTCCTAAGACACAAACAAAAGGTGACACAGTTGCATGGCGGATATTACTAAGACTTGGAAGAGTTATCTTTACTTTTACTTTTACTTTTATCCGCCGCATATACCCTTTTGGGTGTCGCGGGAAGAAAGAGATGACTCTCTGTCGTCAGCCGGAGAGCTTCAGTCAGGGGGATGCCGTGGGTGGTTAATGTTTCCCTGACTCTATCTATCCAGCTCTTTCTCTGTCGCCCTCCAGTCTTGTTGCCGTCGAATTTTTTTATGTAGGCACGTTGTGCTGCATGGTGTGTTGGTAATCGTATGAGATGTCCGAAGAGTAATCAAAGTTATAAATGTACACAAAAGGGCACACAAAAACTGTAAAAACAAATGCAAATAGTTGACGGACGTACCACAAGTGCCGTTGACTAGGACACTTCCCTCTGGACAGCGATAGGTATGTTGGCCAAGGTTGTACTTCATCTGAGCAAACTTGAGAGTCCGACCTCCGACACGAAGGTCAAGGTTACCCTTCCTGGCCTCCCGCTGCAGTGACGTTATCATCTTCCTCATGGGCTCTGACATGTTGACGCGTCGTGACATGTTTTTCTTCATCGCACCTGTTCACATAAAGTAGTATGTTTTCACATGGTCAAATGTTGGACCTCTGAGCAGATGACCCTAGTTTACATCCCTAAGAAATAGTTTTGTTCATATTTATTGTTAGGAGAATTTTTGTCTCACCACACACTCATTAGGTCATATCGGAGATAGGTGTTTAAATTCGGAGCTCCCAGGAATCTTTACTTTTAAAAAAACCCAAACGATCTACGATACAACATCAAGTGTCGGTGACACGGGGATCAGATGGGTGGTCACTGGAGTGTGTCCTTGACGTGTCTCATGACAACCCTAGCTCAAATTACAGGGCGCTGCACAGTGGCGACCGACAGTGGCATTGTTTGTAAACTGTTCTGTATTTGGGTAATAGTGTGTATTTATGTATGTATTTATGCATGTATGTATTTGTGTAAGTACGTATTTATAATTATGTATTTATGTATGTATGTTTGCCATTGTAAAACAAAGTGCCCTTCTAGGACAAATAAAAGTGTAATTTATTATTATTATTATTATTATTATAATTATTATTATTATTATTATTATTATTAAAAGGAGTATGAAACCCATACCACATCAACCATACTACACCATTCCAACTGTGGTTGAGTTCGGATCTGTAGGATTAGGCTCAACATAATCCATGGGGGCATAACGATATGGGGGGAAGGACCTGTGGTAGTGACTTCGTTTCACAAAAAGTACCGTGCATAAAAAGTGAAGACACGTGGAAAATCTTGAGATAGTCGGCCTAAGGCAGGGTCGAGCAAGTTCTACTGGGGTCACCTCCCATTGTTTTGAAAAAAACTGTGATTTCCCAACCTTTATAGACCCCTTTGTGTAAGCGTAAAACTGCTCAAAAGTATACAGGTAACAAGGAAACCATTTTTAAACCTACAGGTGGAAAGAACAGCACTAACCCTTGGCGAAAGTGTATCCCTTGATCTGTTCCCACCTTAACCCCATCCCATCCCAAATTGAACAAAAACATGTGCGGGGTGGGGCGGGGCTGGGGCCATTAAACACATAATAAGTGACCATGGCATAATATAGCATCCTTTTAGGTTAGGCCTTCCGTCTGGAAGACAGTTCACAAATACACCTCTTTTCCAACGATACCTCTTGCGCTCTAAGCAGTTGGGAGAAGATTACGCTAACAAATCGAATGCGAAGGCCTATTCTCTGTTTTGACGCTGCAAGTTAGTTTGAATTATGAAAACGTTACCATTTTCAGCATTTAAAAATAGATCCCACGCTACAAGCATGTATTACCCACACACAAAAAAGAGAAAAGAATTAAGATTTGATACAATGTGATGATACAATAAAGTACAGGCGAGCAGACATCTATGACAAGTGAGGAAACCAAGAAAAAGCAACAACAACGCAGCTTCTATTCAGTAGATATGCAAGCTTGTAAGAGTGAACTAAAGCCAAACCTTGCAATGTGAAGTCAAACGAGATGCGTGATCGGTGGCTTTCCGTGACCCTCCTCAGACGCGCTTTCTCTGGATACTCTCGGACCTGCCTCTTCCTTCTCCTCCGGCGAGGTTTGGTTGGTCGTTTGTCTTCAAGCACGACCTGGATCTTGTTAAAATCTGACAGGTGGGGGTGGGGTTGGGGTTGGG